AGGAGGGACCCCCCCCATTCTTTCTTGCAGGAGGGACACCCCCCCCCCATTTTTCCTTGCTGGAGGGACCCCCAGCTGCTTGCAGGAGGGCTCCCAGGGACTTCTTCCCTCTCCAGCACCTGGCGGGAGGTCACCTTCCCCCCAGCTCCTTGCAGGAAGAGGACCCCTGTGCCCCCCCAAACCCTTGCAGAAGGGGCTCCGTGTCCTCCCATATCTTGGCACCTTGTGCTGATGCTGGGGGCCTGGGGGGGATGCTGCCAGGGATCCCTGTGCACCCTCTGCCGCAGTGCCCAGGGGCCCCCCCCTCCCTGCCAGGGGTGCAGCCCCCCCGTGCTGCGTGTCCCCAGCATCCCTGGCCGTGCTGCGTGCCACCACACACGCTGGAGCGTGACTCCCTGAGTTGGTCCCCCGGGGTGGGGAAGCTGGCAGCGAGCGTCGAGCCCTGGAAATTTCCAAGGGGAGACAGAAATCCGGGGGGGCTCTGAGCATGGTCACGCCGGGATGCGTGTGAGTAGCTGGGGGCGAGTGGGACGGCCCGGAGCATCCCCGCAGAGCCCGCAGCGCGTCGGGCGCTTTGTGCAGGCAGCGGGGAGGCGGCGCGGGCGAAGCCGTGGCTGTGGTGGGCTGCTGCCCCTCGCCCTGGCTGGCACCGGGGAATCCACATCAGCCTACTTGGGTGGTCTTGCTTGGGTGGTCTTGCTTGGGTATGGCAAAGAGCTGGAGAAAGCAAAGGGAGTGGAGGCAGTGAGGCCTAAAGTGTGAGGCTGGGGGAGGGGGCTGTTTGGGGTGCAGGCATGGCCCTCCCGACATCCCTGGCAGTGCAAGGAATCCCCCCGCTTCTTCCTGGAGGGCTGTCGCCCCATCACGTGAACGCGGCAGCGAGACGCGCAGGTTGCTGCTGTAGCAGTCTCTTGGACTGCAGCAGAAGGGAGCCTGTGGTGGCGGGGTCCCCTCCTTGGGGTCCCCTGCTTGGGATCCCTGGGGGAAGAACCACAGCCGGAGCGGATGCTCCTGGCACGGATGGGGGCCGTGGGCGCTCCGGCCACGGCGCAGCTGGCGGTGCGGGGGGGAAGCGGTGCGTGGTGGGAGTCTGGCCGGCGCTGCGCAGACGAGGGAGCCGGGCGCGTGAAGCAGATGGGTTTGCTCTGACACCTGCAGCGTCTCGCTGCAGCAAAAGGGGCACCGCCGGGGCTGCGTGCCTTCCGGCGAAGGCAGCCCCCGGGGGCTTGGGAGCCGGGGGGGTTTCTCCCAAGGAAAGGATGCTATGAAGCCACAGCCTGCCACGCTGCCCTCGCCACCGCTGCTGTCCTCGTGCTGTGGTGATCCGGCTGTACAGGGTAGAGCAAGGCGTGCAAGGGTTTTGCTCTCTACAGGGGAGATGTTGCCCTGGGGGAGCTGCCCTGGGGGAGCAGCAGAGGGATGTCTGCACCCCTGCACCCCCTGTGGTGGGGGGATGGCTTGCACGGGACAGGGTGGCTGGGCCATGCTAGCGAACATGCCCCTTGCCAAGAAACTGTCGCTGCAATGCTCCGGGAGGGGTCTTGGAGGCAGAAAGCACCTGGGGTCTGCTCCCCCAGCCCGGCAGCAGCAGCAGGCAGAGGTGAGCATGGGCTGGTGCGGGGCCAGCCCCGGTTCAGGGCCACCGGCAGCGTGGCAGAGCAGGAAGGCTTGCGACACGGACGGAGCAGACCACAAGCAGAGAAGGTACAAATGAGTCATGGAGCTGCAGCACGGCGAGCGTGGTGCTCTGCGGGGCTGCG